TAGCTTATGTGTATTTAAAAATAATTTGTTTTCGACTCATTCCTTAAGGTTCGCATTCCGAGGGACCACTGTAGACAGACATTGAGTAATGAAGAGAAAGAGCAGGCGTTTGGATCAAAAGCTTTTTTTTATTACTCAATGCACTGTACCAAAGACCATCTTTGGCTTGGCAAACACGAAGCAAGAACATAAAAGAAAATATATAAAAAAATATAAAAAAAAACTACCTCCAGTACAGAAAACGAATTGTAGAGAACATAAGTAGGGCCAAGAAGCTGCAAATTATTGATTATAAGTGCATCGTGTATAAAGTATATAAATGTTTGTATGTATGTGTGTGTGCATAGCACACATATACATACATGCACACATATATGTGTGTATGCATGTAAGAATTAGTTTTCCCATCTATTTGCATCTGGACGTTCTTAGAGCAAAGCAAATACAGTTGACAACTGACGACAGCAGCTCACCAATACACACAAACAGATGCAGAGAGACCGTTTGTGTTTGTGTGTGCTCTTATACTAATGCATTTTGATACTGGCCTTGAACGTGAGTTGCATTTGCACAAAAAAAAAAAAATCGGTTGTGTGAGAGAGGGGCAGCGCATGAGCGAGCGCAAAGACGATAGAGTGCGACACAAGGGGCATCGCAAGAAATTTTTGCCAAAGCGAAAAGCTTAAAGTATATACACACACACACACACACACACACACACAAGCACAGCAGCAAACAGAAAGCGAACTGCAGCCTGCTCGCCTGCATTTCCCGCTCTCTAGCTATCGCTCTCTCTGTTATGCACGCTGCTTTGCCCAGCTAAAAATTCAAAGTAGTCTCAAGGTTATCGCGCGCACACACACACACGCACACAGATATGTACTTGCATATGTACATACGCATACATAGGAACGTTCTCTCTTGCACTCTGCTGCGCAGTGTCTAGCAGTGCGCTCTTCATTTGCATTTTGTTTTTTGTTTTTTCATATGTACATATATTTGATTTTTTTTTTTTTTTTTTTGGCAATTTGAAAAGCTCATAAACTTTCCAATTGCATTGCCCGGAAATCTGGGCGGCCTACTGAAAACAATTTCCCAGCTTTATTAACTTCATATCTCATTGCATACACAATTTGTTGACCATTCGCTTGGGTCCAAGTCTTATCGCAATTCGCTTACGTTTGCATCTTTACTAGATTCGCTGGTTTCAAATTTCGCTTTAGTCGCTCTTGTGGGCGTGTACGCAAGAGTCAGGTGTTTTTAGGGCGAATATTTCAAGTGTCAGTGGAAAGCGTCGAACTGTTATTATTTACTATTTACAGTTGTTTGTGTGAGCAAATGTTTGATTATTGATTCGTTATAAAATGCTTTAAGTGAATTTATAAATAGATATTTTTTTTAGTATATATTCGCCGCGGTTCTTTTCAATTTGTGATTTGTGTTTTTTGGTTTGTCGTTCATTAAGTTCTCTCATAATTTTCAGCTGTTTCAATTCAATTGACAACCACTGTAATTGCCGCAAACTTTTCTCAACAGAGCGTTAGCCTAAGCCTTAGCCTAAGGTACAACGGCTTTGCTGCCTCTAAACCAAGTAACTGAACTTGCAACGCCCTTTGTGAGTGCTGACGTTGGCATTGACGCAAGTGGGGGGCAAATGCAGTCATTAAGAGTGGGTGGTGGGGGGTGGAGCTGCGAAGGGCTGTTACTTTTGTGGCATGCATACACACGCACACACACACACACGCACACACACGTGAAATGCCAAAGTTGAGAGTACGAAATAAACTCGACCAATTCCAATTGCAACTGCAAGCTGCAAGTGTCGAATGAAATCGAAATGAATATTACATATTTTATTATCCAGAGCGGCACGCACACACACGAACATAACGTGCACTTATACATACATACATATGCACGTAAGTATGTTTACTGTTAGCTTGGCAGCATTGCATAAAAATCGCCCCCATCCCTCTTTACCACTTGCGAAAGTGAAACATGAAAGCGAAATTTCTGGCACATATTTCAAATGTTGACTGCAGACAACAAGTCGCTCTCGCCGCGGCAGCGATGATTCATCCAGAGAGCGTGCGAGAGAACGCGCGCGAGAGATAGAGAGAGAGAGAGACAGAGAGAGAGAGAGAGTGGTGAATGTGGTATTTTATAGTCATATAAGGTACAAATACAAGCACAAATACTAGCGCGCAGTTGCCCGCCCCCAAGCTACACAGCTGCAGCTGCAGCGTCAAAGCTTTCAAATGCATGTTGTTGTTTGTTTGTTTTTCGCGCTCTTCTCTCTGGTGAGTGCGCTCCCGCTCAGTTGCCATTTTCGTTCAGTTCGTTTAGCAGTGCCTACGATGCCGTTTCGCCGTTTCATTTCATTGTACCACAATCCAACATACATACATACATACTTACATACAGAAAGCAGCACAATCCTTGTAGCATTTGTTTCAAGTTCACTGTCAAGGTCACCTACTCTTGACATGCGCTGCTGCGACGGCAAAGGGCGAATTTGCTGCAACAGCCAGCAGTCTACACTGCTTGCGAAATGTATACAGCCAGTCCTAACCATCTCCCTCTCTCGCAGCGAACCGATACAACTGCTTTGCCCGAGTCACTATTTCATCACGTTCGCAAATTGCGCTCGGTTGTTTTTCACTTTTCTCAACGTATACACAGAATTTATAATAGATATGAAAATAGTCAATATGGACTTTCAATATATGCATTGCTCTCCATATATACACATGTAGGTGTGTATGTATGTATGTGCACACATCGCGCTGAGCCAAGTTTCCCGCTTTCAGCAGTCATTTCCCACCTCAACAAATTGTTTTGCTTGCTTTGTATACAAAATAAAAATATTATTTATGCCAATTTTGTATAGTAAACAAATATTTTTGGCTCATATTTTTTCTCTTGCATAGCCCTGTTTAACAGGAAATTTACAGATTACCAGATTAGGCGTATACCTTATTTTACACGACTGGAGAACTTGACTTTATGATAAACAAACACTTGGTCTCGGAGATTCACGAGTTTAGCAGGGGATTTCACATTATTCTCTACTCAACTTTACTTATTGTCTGTGGCGATGGTCACAGTGACTCAAAGCAAACATTTCTCATCTGCTTGTTGCTTAGAACAAGACGTTATTTTTACAAAATTAGATAGCTTTATAGAGTACATACGTATACGTAATTTCTTACATACCCAGCTGAAATCGCAAGACTAGAAAAGTTAAATTCCATTTGGGAATAAGCATTTTTGATCGTGGAAATAGAAGGGCAACATTCATACCCTAAATTTTCGCATGGTATTTAATAAGTTTTAGCTTAAAGCGTTTTAATTTATGTGGTCAGCGTCAAGTTCAAAGAAGGTAGTATATCAGGAGTAGTTCCATTATATGAATGCCGCCTTCAATTGTGAAAAATGGGTGGAAAACGAAAGCAATATTTTTACTTTTAGATCATTTCCACACGCGTTTATAAAGTTATTGTTGAACATTTATTGCAGTTGTTATTTTATATATTTAAATTCAAAGTTGTATAGAGGAAAGTTCAACCCTGTCGCATCAGCTTTATGAACATGTAGAGTACAACTGGGATATTCAAGTGGACATCTGCGGCTGTAGTTTCAGCGCTAGCTATAAATGGACATATACTTGTGTAAGTGAGTGTGCCTTTAGGTAGCCCTAATAAGACTGCGCAGCGCATGACATAAGAAAGCAGCGCAGCAGCAGCGGCAGATTGACTAACCTATAAAAGCGAAGGCTTGCAATATCATCTGTTGCACAAACAGGTACGCATACAGATACAGCTACGGATACAGATAGACAGTTCTGTATAGATACAGATACACAGTTTCCCGATGCGAACGCTGCAGTTGTAGCATTTAATTAAATTAAACAATTAAATAAACAAGCCAAAGAGCGTGGCGCACTTAAATACCCACACACGTACATACGCATTTACATATATGTACATATGTATATACGTATACAGCTGTATATAAGCACTCGCACGCACACTAACAAGCCCAAACAAATTCAATTAAGCGATTCAAAGGGATGGATCGGGTTGGAGGGGGGGTGCCAAAAGGGCAAAGACGCTCGCGAATTGCAACACACACGCACATTTATCTGTAAGCAAATATATGCATATGTGTACACATACACATCTTTATATGGGTGTATGTATGTGTGGGTGTGTGCACATATGCGCCTATTGTTGCTGTTATTGCTGCTGCAGTTAGTCAGTAAATGCGCTAATTATATATCTACATACATACATACATACATACATACATACATACAATTGCAGCCCGGTTAGCCCAGGCCCAGAGCACACAATTTGCACATACATATATACAAGAACTACTATATATGTACTCAGACACATATGTACATATGTACATGCATACATATGCATGTAACAGTAACTAAGGCGCGGTCAGGGTAGACTGCACAAGCTAACAGCAGCAGCGAGTATGTGTGCCTGTGTGTGTGAGATCAGCAGCGAATTTGGAATTGGTGCGAGCGAGCAGCAGCTTCCTTTATATGCATTCACTCACATGTATGTATGTATGTACATACGGTATGTGCATGTGCTGTGTAGTGTATATACATGTACATATGTATATTCCTCCTACTCTTCAGCTGCCCTGCTCTTGTATGCGCTTTATTGCATAACATCCTTGAACTTGAACCGCACTGAGCTGAGCTTTGGGTCGCTTGGCTGCTCGCCTGGTTCGTGTTTGGCACTGGCTGCGCTCAGGCTGACTCAGCGACACAAACACACACAAGCACACACTCACACGCATGCACTCTGAAAATACACATGCAGGCGAGCGCTCCCCCACAGCTGCAGTTGGTATACGCTAAAATTTAGACTCTAAATTCGCCTCAAAGCCGTTCGGCTCAACGACGACGGCGACAAGCAACGACGACGGCAACGACGACGATGACGACGACGACAGCGACGGCGACAGCGACGACAACGTCGAAGGCCTGTGTCTCTGGCACTTTCTGCTGTGCTTGGCATTGAAAGCGCGACAGGCGAGCAGCGAACAACGTACCATTCCCAACAGTCCAAACCAGAAATCAGTGCACACTGGCGACAGGAGTTGAATATAATAATCAAAAACAAATAAAAAAAAATAAATAAGCTGAATTTTAATATATAGTAATTATAATTAGACACGCAAATGAAATCAACGATCACATTAAATTCAATTTGACAAACCCAAAAAGTCACAATAAGAGTTAAAACAAAAAAACACAACAATAACAAATTAATTGTGCAAACACAAAAAAAAAAAAAAACACCTAAAATTCATTTGAGAAGTGCGCAAAACTGGTGACTGCTCGAAAATAACAACAATATATTCCAATTGTACTCGAACTATGTATGTACATATATTTCGTATATTTCCTATTGTCAGTAAGTGCAATTTCACATTTTTACGGAAAAGCAGAGCAAAATTAATGAAAGTAAACAAAATCTGAAAGCAAAACAAGAATATGGTGAAAGAAAATTTGTATATATGCATATGTATATATAAGTATTTATCCATCTATATCTCACCTGCGGGTATTACGTGTCAAACATGTGATTCCGTTCTGCTTTTGTATGCAAAAATTTTAAATGATGCATGCGAAAAAATGTCAGTGAAAATGAAACGAAAGAAAGTACAAAAAAAAACATTGCATCATCCAAATACAGGTGAAAACTCGTGTGAAAAATACTGCAAAAGGAGGAAAAATCGCTTTGCGCCTTATGGCTGTCGTATTAAAACAGGTAAGGATCAATATATCTAGTAAAAAATAAGTTTGTTGACACATATTTGCGGTTTAGAACAAGCAACAATCACCGCAAAATCATCTCCAGATCTATTATATTACTTCTAATATAAGAGTTTTTATAGATATTACAAAAATCACAATATATACCACATGGGGTATGTGATATTTTTTAAGGAACTCTATATATGCACAATACTTTCGAGTTTTCTTAGGTTTTTTTTTATTATATATATAGTATATAAATACAAATATTCTTATGCAATATAAAAAAAAAATATATATATATATATAATAAAACAATCAGAACAACAAATTCGTAAGTTGAATTTAATTTGCGAATTATTATTATTTCGGGAAAAGAAAAATACAATTCTTTATTGAAGTTTGTATGATTTCATCAAGTTTTTTTTAGTTTAAAATGAAATAAGAGCCAAAATATCTTATTTGCGATTTTTTCTTCTCTTTATTCTGGAATCCTCTTAAGAAAAATTGTAATAAAGTATAATTACAATTTAATTATCTATATTGAAATTTCACAAATTTACGTCGTGTTTTGCTCGTGACAAAAAAAAAGCACGACACGCGCTCAACTCTAAGTTTAGTTTGAATTCGCTGCACTTCTTGCGACATCCATCAAGTATGTATGTGTGTGTGTGTGTGTGTGTGTGTGTGTGTGTGTGTGTGTGCGTACCTTTATCAGGAATGAAACACAATTGAAACAAATAAACGCCAGTTACATCAAATGCATATGTTCATATGTATGTATGTATGCATGTACGCTGTACATTTAGGACTGTGGATCCAGTTTTGACGAATAACGACACTTTTATACATATGTATATATGTACATATGTACATATATGTACATACATACGTATGTATGCATTTAAATACTAAGAGATCCTGTTGTAAGTTTCTCTTTTGCGTGCAATCCCCATGCAGAAGGACGGCAAACAACATGCAGCGAAAGAACAACAGAAACTAAGAAGCAGCCACAAAAAGCAAAAGTAAAGCTCACATACACACACACACACACACGGGCATATGTAGATAAACCATAGACAGCCAAATAAAAGGCAAAAACATTTTACGAAGCGGAGCGCAAAAAGCACAGTCAAAGCGTGAACACCAACACAAATGCAGCAACGCGCACACGCATACGGATAAAAAATACAAAAACACACACACACACACAACATACATACATACATACATAATAAGCAAAGAACGCCAACTGGCAACATTGCGCAAGGGACAAGTAAAATATATGAATGAAAGAATGACAACGGCAGAGAACAGCAGAACAGAACATAAAGACTGAGCGAAAGAGTAAAAGCGCGCGAGAGAGAGAGCGAGAGATAGAGAGAGTTAGATATGCGGCTGAAGGCCACGACGTGTTGTGTGATGGTAACAAAGGCAACATCGGTGTGTGGGGCAGTAGGGCAACTATGGTGGTATGGAAGTGTGGAAGAACAACAGGAACAGGAAGAAACGTCGAAAACTTAACGAAACTTAGCTAAGAGTGTGAGTGAGCGTGCTGTGAGAGCGAATAATAGAAGATAGAAGCGCTGCCGCCGCTAACGTCGCAGCAGCAAACGACACACACACGCACGCACCCATCGGGCTTTCCATGCGGCCTGAGTCGAAACGGCGACGACATTGAGCAGCGGCACCTTTAACTGATCGCAGCGCAGTTCCTTTTCGGGTGTACGCGTGTCCGTTGCGCAGTTTGTGTACGGAATGCGGAAATAAACGGCAGTTAAAATTCGGGATATAAATATGCATACGTACATATATATGCTGATATACATACAGTATGTCAATAAAGTGTTTTTACTAACAAAAAAAAACTAATTTTTTGGGTTTAGTTGAAAATAAATGTACCTAAAAGTGAGAATTTTTTTTCAATTCTAATTTATTTCGATTCTATATTTTTCCTAGAACTTAATGGCAAAAAGAATTGTTAAATAACATTACCCAAACATTTTATAAAATTAAAAAACTAAAAACATTCAAATTTTATGCTGTCAATAAAGTGTTTTTACACGAAACTTTATTACTAAATAACAATGTTAAAAAAACAGGAATATTTTTTTTTAATACTTTGTGTGGCTGCCATTAGCGTCACATACAGCCTGCAATCGCCGTTTCATTGAAACAATAAGGTTTTGTATGTATGTTTCTGGAATCTTCTGCCATTCTTCCAGTACAGCAGCTTTTAAATCAGTTTTTGATTTTGGACTCCGCTTTGCGACTTTTTTTTTCAAATATGACCACACATTTTCTATTGGATTCATATCTGGACTTTGTGGTGGAGTGTCTAACACCTTTCCACAGTTGTACAACAGCCAAACTCTTACCATATGAGCTTTATGCTTCGGGTCATTGTCCTGGTAAAATTTAAAAATTGGCTTATTGTCCTCATAGAATCCAAATTTCTGTGCACTACTGACGAGATGTGTCTGTAAAATGCTCAGATATTGTCTAGCATCCATGGTATTCTCAATGAAGGTCAAATCTCCTACACCCTTGCTCGAAATACACCCCCACACCATCACTGATAGTTTTCCGAATTTAACGGTTGGAATAATATTGCGGTTTTCCAACGCTGTTAGTGGCTTTCTCCAGACTCTGGATGGCCCATCGTTGTAGAATAGCATCATCTTGCTTTCGTCACAGAATATGACGTTACTCCAAAAATCGTTCGAACTATTTACATGGACTTGAGCGAACGATAGCCGCTTCAAAATATTCGCCGCCGATAGTAGAGGTTTTTTCCTGGCAACTCGTGATGTGTAGTCATTGGAATTCAGTAATTTTCGGACAGTTTCATGTAACACATCAACACCACTTTCTTCCTTGAACTCCTGAGCAATATCCCTAAGCGAAATTTGTGGATTTTTCTCAATTTTTCTCAGAATTTTTCGCTTATCTCTGTCAGAAATTTTGCAGGGTCGACCACATACTGGCTTTGCCTCTAGCCTATCTTCCTTATTGGCTCTGTTTAATATGTTGTATATCGTTGCTTTTGATAAATTAAACATATCAGCCAGTTCCGAGACTTGACGTCCCATCTGATGGTTATAATACACCAGCTGAGCGACTTCAAAAGTTGTTCTTTTTCCTGGCATTTTATTTTTCATAAAATTAAAGCAAAACGTTATAAATTGCAATAGAAAATGACAAGAAAAGTCGAAGACACAAGAGAAGCCAAAACGCATGGGCCCAAATCTAACGGGATCACCCAAAAGAGAACGGCAAAACAATTTACCGTAGCTGTAAAAACACTTTATTGACAGCATAAAATGTGAATGTTTTTAGTTTTTTAATTTTATAAAATGTTTGGGTAATGTTATTTAACAATTCTTTTTGCCATTAAGTTCTAGGAGAAATATAGAATCGAAATAAATTATAATTGAAAAAAAATTCTCACTTTTAGGTACATTTATTTTCAACTAAACCCAAAAAATTAGTTTTTTTTTGTTAGTAAAAACACTTTATTGACATACTGTATATATATTACGTCGTTGTTTTGGTCCTTGCCACGCCAAATGCCGCAAGCAACCCCCGTTTAAGCTGTAAACGACAAAAGCCCAAAAATGAACAAAAATAAAGCAAATCTGCGTTAACAGATGCGAAGAACATGGCAAAAAGAGTGTGAGTAAACGGTATTGCGTCGTAGTTACGTTTTATTTCTATTCATATATTTGTTGTTGTTTTCGTTGCGATAACTGTTGTACTTAGAGAGGCAGCAATTGTTAAAAGAAAAGTTTACTAACATTTCATGGAACGCCACGCACACACACACACACACATGCATACACACATGCATGCACACATGCAAACACACATGCAAACACACATGCATACATGCCTGCATACGTGCGCCCCGGCATTCCTTCAATAACAGTTTCTTTTTGCCGCCGCCGGCGCCGCATTTGCTGAATTATAAAAATATATTTATAACATAAACAAAAAGACAAAAAAGAAGCGAAAACTAAAAACAAAATTAGCAACAACTAAATACAAGCGAACAAAAAACTGAAAGTGTGTATATGTGTATGTATGTACATACGTACATATGTACATGTATGTACAATAAGCCTAAAGCAAAAAATGATAGAACAACAAAGCGCAAGAAAAACAATAAAATGAATTTCTTTAGAAGTTATGCGTAGCAAAATTTGTGTGTGTGTGTGTGTGTGTGTGTGTGTGTGTGTGTTTGTCTTGCCAGCTTGCAGTTATTCATTAGAATTTCGCATTTAATAGCCAAATGGCTAAATAAAGTTTATAAAAAAAAAAAAAGAAGAAACTTTCAAACTCTGCGAAAAAGCAGGCACGACAGATGCTGAGTAAAATTTCCATTTGCTATATCAAAAGTTATTTAGTTGTGATAGATGCTTTGCAAGTCATTTTAAGTTATTTAATAATAATTGATTTATCAATAACGCCGCCTTAAACATTTTATTTAAAGGCAAAAGGAATTCCTTTTGTAAAATTAATAATTGAGTAACAAATTCAAACTCAGTGTTGCAAAACTCTTGAAACAGTGAGAGGCATTTTCTATTACTGTAGATTGAAAACAAAATCACCATTTTGAATATTTTGGAGGCATTTTGTAACACTGCGCATGTAAATTGTCATTCCTTTGAAGCTCTTCAACACTTTTGACTTCTTTTCTTCAATGTATAGCTGCAGTGAAAATTTGAGAAAGAATTTACTAGACTAGTTAAATTAATAACACAATTTCGGGATTTATATACAAAAGTGAAAAACATCTAGATACAAAATGTGTTTTTACCAAAACTAAAAGCTAAATTTCTTACAGTTGAAAAAAAAATGAAAAATGTATTTGAATATATACATAAGCCGAAAAAAAAAAACAAGCAACAATATTTAATGAAATTGTCGATTGAAAGAAATTTCGTTTCAAGTTTAAGTGAATTTTAAAGGCCGCAACTAATTTCTGGAAAGCTCTAATTTCAGAGCAATAATTAAAAGCAGTTACAACTAGAGAATAATAGCCCCTGATTCCACTCTGCTCAAGATTGCTTACATTTATAAACTTCAAATTCTGCGATTCCATTAACAAATGCCAGTTGTCGGTAAAATATAAATGGCAAAAGAACCTCTTTTTTTTATAAACTGATTATCAGTTTGATTTGACGAAGCGCCGCAAAGTGTTCCTCCCAAAGGTCAAATAATTCGACATCAAAGTAAGTCACTTTTGAAAAATGTGAGAATGTTGTAAATGTTGTATGTTGCATGTTGTAAAAATGTGACATTTTCAGAAATGTGTAAGAAATGCGGAATTAGCCTAATTGATACATTCATACAGTTTATAAAATATATAATATATTTTTGAATAGATCCATTTTTATGGGATATAAAAATTAAGAAGATTAATAATACAGTCGATCGCAAGTGCAAATTCTAAAAAAGACTCTACTTTACGAATTATTCAAATCTCCGTTGGGTACAAATTACTATTACACAAAAATTGGAATGCTTAACTCATAAAAGGAGACCACTTTTATTTTCCTAGATAACCTGATTCGGTATTTCTTAGTTTATTTTTGTGCTTCTTCTGACAGTTAGGTCGACCCCAATGTTGGTTATATTTTATTAAACTAAAGACCAATAAAAAAACTAGTTATATTCATAAGAAAGGTATTTCAAAAACCATTCTGTTCTGCAGTCTTTGCTTTCAACTCAGGGATTGCAAACGCCTAATCCCCTCTTCGATACCTTAACCAGTTGAGAATTACAAACAAGTGCTGCGTGCATGTCAGAGTTGAGTTCATGTTCTGTGTGTTTTACCTCTTTTTCATCGTGCTTAATATTGACACGAAGAAATCTTTAAAAGTTAATAAATGATCAATTATTCATAAGCCTTAATGTTACATTTCTTCATTGACTATAAACAAATAATTGTAAAAGTTTAATTTTATGAAGATTTTTCTATCCTATTCTAAGAGATGAGGTTGTCGTTTAAGCGGGTTTTCACTGTATTGAGCAATACGTAATTGGAGATATATAAAGCATGCCTAACGCACAGTTTTGGACGTTTTTTTCAACTATTTTAAATTCTATAATAATCCATCACGTGACTATAGTCAAAGTTTAACTGCCTTTTAATTGAGCAACTGTTTTTGGAGCTGTTGTCTCTTAACAATCGCGCTTATTATATAAATATGAAATGACTATTGTTAAACAATACTGTGAAATAGTAAACCGCACTAAATACGATATATACACACATGTATATGTAGTATATATTCCAGATATGAACAATACAATCGAGTGCAATGCATTGCGATGCATTTGCTAGCTGCCCACTCATCTACAGATACATCTGCATATATGCACATGCACACAGATATCTACACGTACAAATGTATTTGTATCTCGTAGGTTCGCAATCAAGAATTGTGACATTTGCCCCGCCTGCCCGCCTTACCTTTAGCTGGGTGACCGCAAAACCCAACAACAAGTACACAGAAATAAGTGCGGCATTCTCCGAGTGTGTGTGTGTGTATTTATATCTAAACTTTGAGTCAAGTTTGCTTGCGTGTTGTGTTTTTGTTTGCGCAAGCTGTGAGATTTGAAAAACTTTTACGTAATAATCGGCATGCGAATTCAGAGCAACAGGAGGGGGAGCTAGCGTGAGAGGGGGCCTGGGGGGACGTCATCTTTGCGCTTTTTGTGATAGGTGCAAAAAGTGGCGTCATCAGAACGGATTTTTACATAAAAGACATCAATAAGTACGCGCTGTTAAAACTATCGTTTATTCTCATCAAATAGAACTATCGCTTGTTATCGATAACAGCGTTTGCGTGCAAAATGCAAGCCCAAAAAGCATTTTGCCTATTTTCATATAGGGAAACTATAGTTGTCATCGATAAAAGCAATTGTACTCAAAAGTGGAAGAACAAAGAGTATTTTGGACATTTCCATCAAAGGGAACTATTTTTTGTTATCAAAGGAAATATCGCTTGTTATCGATAACAGCGATTGGAAGAACAACAAATATTTGTGAGATTTCTAATTTTGGAATTTTCCCGGTAAAAGTGGCAACTGTGCTTAGCAAATTTAAAGAAAAGGTTCGCATTGATAATTGCTAACAATGTTAGAATTAAATTAATTAATAAAAAAAAAAATAAACTAATCGATAGCGCAGGCAACAAATTCAAGTGCGAACACTTTAGACAATATTATGAAGAAAGCTGAAAACACGCTAAATACAAACACACACACACACAAACACATACACACGTATGTACATCTAAACACAGGCATCAGTGTAAAGCGCAAACACATGGCACGAGTGAAAAGAGGAAAGCAGCAAAAATAAAAAGCCAAAATGCTGCTTGTACGGAGATGGGGACGCTGCTGGCGTCAGCGTCAGCGTCAGCGTTGGCAGCGCCGTCGTCATTATTGCTGTTGTTGTTATTGTCATTCAGTGTGTCGAGGTGATGGCGGCGGCGGGTATGTGTTTCAAGTTCAAGGTTAAGATACTAGTTGTGCATGCGGCCAGCGGGTGCGAGCGAATAGGCAATAGTTGCCACAGCGTGCGTTTGTGTGTGTGTGAATGTGTGATAAACCAGTTTGGCACGTTTCGCTGCGCAAGCGAGAAGCGAGACAGCAGGTCAAAGCGAGAGGGCATGATAAAGAGACAAAACGAGAGCAGCGTCAAACAAAGAGGAAGAGGAAGCCAACGAAAAGCACAACCAAAAAGCAACGCGCATCAAACACAAAATTTAACGAAACATATTACAAATAATACAAAATAACGCACACTTTGCCAACTACAGTTGTGCACTCTGCTCTCGCTCTCTCTCAATCGCTCTCTTTCTCTGTTTAACATTTCTGCGTTGAAAGGCAAATAATAGTTATTAGGTTTAGATTCGCCGTCGGCTTTGCTTTTGACGTTTCAACACTTATTCGCACTTCTTTTGTTTTACCTTATGCCATTTTTATTTCATTATCGTATCTGTCGCGCGCTCCTCTCTTTGCGCTCTCTCGGAGCTTTAATTGAAATGATTTTGTCGCTGTCGCTGCGGCTTGCACGCCTGCAATTGCACTCGCCCCGACTCCGCTTCGTCCGTTGCGTCAGCTGCACTGACAAAAACAACAACAACAACAACAACAAGAAGAAGCACTGTAAGCTCTTCATTTAATTAAACGCCTGGCGCCGTGTCGGCTTAATGGATTTTTTTTTTAGCTTACAGCAACAAAAAGCATATTCGACACTCAAAATCGATTTCACACTTGTCCCTCCCCCACCCCTTTAGCCTTACACCTTGCAATAGCAACACTGCTCAAAAATTGCTCCCAGGCAATTTGCCAAAAAAAAAAAAAAAAATATTGCTTCATATAATTTTAGTACTGCATTTTATGGGCTAAATAAATTCCAAACATTTTAAGTGCATATTACTTGCATTTTGCATAGTTTCCGAGTTCGTTGCACTGCAATTTTGTAGACCTTGGATGTAAGGCATATTAAAAAGCTCTAGAAAAGTACATTTGCAATTAAGAATTTCAAAACTAATCGTGGATTTAACTAAACGCATAAAGTGAGCTGTTGAAAGCTTAGCTTTTACTAGAGCAAATCGAAGAAAATGAAATAAATTAGTATGCTATATAATGTTACTTGCGATTTTAACAAAAAAGCTTCTTATATTCAGTGAAAGTTCCAAAAGCAGCTCCTTTTACTGCGAACATGCCGGATTCTACAACAAACGAATATCCAAAGTAAAAAATCCATTACTTTTAGATTTGAGACTTCTGATATCTATGTATGTACAATTTAAGAAAAAATAACTGTCCACTTAGCAGAGCTTTTACTATAAATATTTAAAACGTGTTTTTTAAGCACCTTCGCTTTTATTGCTTTTTCACCAAGTACCCGCCCGTGGAAAATTGAAATCTGCCCATCTAGATCTTCACTTCTATTTTAAAATAACATATTTCTAAAGAACTAAGTGTGGGCTTTAACGGTTTCCGCCTATGTTGGTCTTGCGGTGAGAATCTTTAAGCTCTACAATAAACTTTCGTTAATCAAAAGCCTTGGACCCGCATTAGCCAAATAAATTCTCACAAAGATCTTTGAAAATACATTTCTTTGCGAGTCGAATTTTCCGTTACCCCGTCTTACTGTGCACCTGATCATATAAGGTAACTGCAGTGAACATTTCAGCTTCCTGGACAAACAGTTTAATACGTAGAGAAGATATATTCCGACAAGATTGATAAAGCAAATCAACAAATTTTAAGATAACCATCTGAAACATCTCTGGGAACTCTGCGAGTGACCTTCATTTTGTGTACTCTAAAACATTCACATATATGTACTATATATGTACCTCTAAGCTTGTATATATATATATATATAGATGTGTATTCTCACTTGCGTTCCAATAATTTGGTTGCCAAGTGCGAAATTTGCATTTCTTGATTATCGAATTATCGAATGTTGCATGAACTTGTAATTTTATACAAATACATTTGAAAATATTTCAGTGTGTAACGTAGCGTATGCTATCGATAAATCGATAACAAATTTGTACAGTTAAGCAGAGTGTGTGAGAAAGCTTTGCATAGAAGAAGAGTATGCAAATCAAAGCCGATTTCGCATGCACTCACACGCATATAAGTTGTCGATTATTTGTTTGGTTAAGTTAACATTTTCCTCTGGAATTTCAAACATTCTCTGTTTATTTTTAGTGGAACAGCGTCAGCTTTGAAATTTAATTAGCGACAGGCGATTGAGCCAGCCACAACAACAACAACAACAACAACAACAGCAATGACAGCACAAACACACGCCTACACACAATAGAGCAGAACAAGGGCCTGCGAAATAAAAGTAAACACAAAGACAAAAGAAAAAGGAAATAAACCAAAATAAATCATGCGAGCAAACGAAGAGGAAGAGCCACAAAATGTGTTCAGCTTTCGCATGACGACAGCAAAAAGCAGCAGCGACAGCGGCAGCAACAAGAACAATGAAAGTGCACCAGAGACGTTATCAGACCCCCTTCATCAACCCTACTGCCACTGCTGCAACTGGCATGTGAGTGTGTGTACGTGTGTGTGTGTGTGTGTGTGTGCCTGTGAGAGCGAGCGAGCAAACAAAAATGGCGCTTGACATGCGCACCATGCGCACTGAGCGAGCGGCCAACTTGAACTTGAAAATGTTTTTATTGTTGCGCTTGTCCGAAGGCTGTGTTCCATTTACTTGACGCGACAGCGACGCCAGCAGCAAAGCGATGCCGGCAACCAAAGTGTGGAGCGCAGAGCGTATACGCGAATTCAACAGAGAGGGAGAGAGCGAGAGAGAGCAGCGAGGGCGTAAGCAGCAAGAGCGAGCTGCTAGGCTAAGCTTTGGGACTGCTTGCTAGCAGCAGGTATGTATGTTTGTATGTATGTATGTATATTTGTGTTGTGCATGTGTTGGTGAGAGTTGCAAATCAGCCAATATGAAAAGAAAAATAAAAACAAACAAGCATGCGAGAGCAGGCGAAAGCTTTTTGCATAGCTTTTGCGTGGGTGACTTAAGGCAGCGCAGTTGCGTCGCTGCCGACGTCTGCCAACTGTTTGCTTTTGTTGTATGCCCAAAGCCAGCTGCCCGACACTTTCTCTTTCGCTGCGTACACCAATGTGCCTGTGTGTGTGTGTATGTGTGTGTAAATAATGCTGTTGCATATTTACTGGGATACGATGACGCGCACCTGTGCGAACACAGCTGCAGCCGACAGGATGCTGCTGCTTCTTCTTCTACACGCTAGCCTCCTAGCTGCCAGCCAGGCGCAAAGTTTTTCAGTGTAGAGCGCACTCCCGGTGATGTCAGGCAGCTCCTAACAGAGCAGCGTTGCCATACTTGTAATAGAAAAAAAAAAAACACATTACATATATGTGTATGTATGTGTAAAGTTGACATAAAAGTGCGCGTTGCTCGAAAAAAGGAAACAATAACAAAACATATTCAGGTGTGGAAAATTGATTAATTGCTAAAAATACAAGTGTGTGTGTGTGTGAGTGTAAAAGTTTCTGTACTGTGTCATGTGATGCAAATTGTTATTTTCATTCTCGACCAGCATATGGACATTACATTTTAAGAAATATATGTAGTGCACACAAACCACACACGCATACACACACACACACACACAGATACAGATAGACAATTATTTCATTGCGCCTTGGCATATGCAACATATTTGTTGGTTTGTGTTTACTACGCTTTCGACCTTTTCACACACACACACACACACGCGCACACGTGTTCACAGAGCAAGATGCGTAAGCAGCGTTGAATTATTTACACATATAAATATACATATATGTTTACAGTTAGATAGATGCATGTGTATGCCATATATAGACATTAATCGATGCGACTTTGTCTAAGGGCAGCTGGCAAAATGTGGAGCATTAAAAATAGATATGGAAAATAACTTTCGGCCATAGCAAACTCAATAAATGATTTGGAAATATTTTGACGATTCAAGCAAATTTACAGTAAAAGCTCTCGCAGATGCGCGCTATTTAAATGTAAGTGAGGTTAGGTTAGATCGAAGAATAGAAACAGAAACAAAAACAACTTTTTGAAAACCTTGCAAATTGGGATTGTTTCAATACTTCTCGCCGTCATTTTGTTGATGCATATGTCCTATTTCCGTCTATTTCAGACCGCTAAAAATTTGTAAGCTTTTGTCCGCTTACGCTCAAAATATCCTTCGCCCAATAGTGTTAATATGTGGCAAAGGAGATGTCCGTCCCAGGAAGCTGTCCTTTAGCTAAGTTTTTACTGTACAAGTTGGCCATATTTTAAATATGCGTCAATCGATGTGACTTAGCTCAAGGGCAGCTGACAAATTTTAGAGCTGAGAGATTAAAAATAGATTTAAAAATCATATTTAATGCAAATCAATAAATAGTACAGATATATACTATAGATATATACCATATATAAAACAAACAATATTACACGTATATAAAACAAACATTAAACAAGGTGAAGGAAATATGAATATGTATTGGTATGAAAAATTACGTAAAATTATTAAATTTATTGAATCTATGCTAAAACATATATCTCGGAGCTTTTGAAGTAGAGTGTATGAAATGCATTGTAAATTACAAATTTCTCCAAAATCCTAGTGAAAATTTTCATGAGAAACGAGTGAAAAAGTGTGTTCACAAAAACAACAAGAAGAACCAAAAAAAAAAAAACAACGGCAAATGCAGCAGCAGAAGCGAGCAAGAGTAGCTGCAGTAGAGCTGCGTGCTGGGTTTGTGTCCATGCTAAGCTTTCGCTAAAAAGCTTTTTCAGTGCAATTGCCGCTGGGATACACCCTGTGCTCGCTTTGAATTGTGCAAGCAAGTGAACACAGCTGGTGGTATCCAGTGGCCGTTGGCAGCCAATGCAACAATTGCAACAACTGCAACAACAACAACTGCAACAACAACAACTGCAACAGCAACAACAACAACGAATACTGCAACAACTTGAGGCAGCCACAGGGTGAGTAGTGTTCAAATTGTTAATTCTTGGGTTTTCTTTGCAAGTCCAAACTGTAAACTTATTTTTATTTTAAGTTAGATTTTTCTTTCTCTTGTTTTTTTTTGTTGTCTTTGAATTAAATTTGTTTAAAGTTCATTTGACCATACTAAATATTTCTTAGCCATAAGCTTTGTTTAACAAATTATCATTTATTTACCCTCGAATAGAAAAGAAAAAAACGTAAAAAGTAAAATAAAAGAAAATCAACTGTTGCCCAAATTGAATCATTGAGCAAGATTTGTGCAAATAATTTTAAGTAAGCAACAGCAAAGAAAATCAGTGGAAAAAAAATCACAAATTGAAAACAAAAATTGCATATAATTATATTCAGCATTTAATTGTTATTACACATCTCTCTTCAATTGAACATTATTATTTTCTATTTCGATTTTAGTTCTTTTTCAAATTTACAATTTTCAATAGTAACAATCAACACATCAAAACCAATTTTCCACGCACTCTTTCAGACTTGTTGCTGGACGGGTGACGGGTGGTAGTGCGGAGGGGGGGGGGGGGGTGGCGTGTTGCCAACGAACTGCGCTTGAATGCGCCGAGCTTACCTGAGAAACGCTCTGAAAAATTTTGATGAAAATTTAATTATGCCAGTCAGCAGGGCAGCAAACAGTCCGTAGTATTCAAGTGAGGGAAACTTTGCTGCGCTGGCTACCCATTAAAAATGTAAATGGAAAATGGGGTTGGATCGTCTTGTGGTTGTAATATGTTAAGCGGGGCACAGATAGATGTTCCCTATCAGCATCCACGATTCACAGAAGCCATTTAACATATCAATAAGTGCAATTCGATTCTATATTCTCGTACAACTTTCCCCTTAACTCGAAATCGATAAATATCGATTTTAAGCTTGGCTTCGATTACTGTACACTTCATTAATATGTTTCTTTTTGAATATCTCTTAGGCAAATGTGAGAAAAATTTGATTGTGAACATCATTAAATGCTATCGATAAATATCGATTTTTAGCTTGTACTTCAAAAATCGTATTCCGCTAATTACAAACTTGTGAAGCAGCTTTGTATGCGCAAACAGCGAATAGCTTTCGTTAAGCCCTGAAAAAATCGATAAATATCGATAGATATGCTATATATTAATCGATCAATATCGATTTTTAGTTTAAAACACTTTGCTTTTGAATGTCAGCTCTTTTTATTTAGATTTCTATTGAAATTTAGCTTTCATAAGTAAAAAACAAAATGTAATTCTCTCGATGATAATTAATCAAATGCAGCTCAGGGCTGACTACAGGGTATCTGTTTGTGCTGGTAAAGCAGCTTCTGGTTGTTTTGTTTTTGAAGTTGGCCAAAACAATTAAAAGAGATTTTTATGCTGCAATTCGAATTGGTTTCGAAGAAAATCGCGTGCACACAAATTTTCTATTTTCGTTTCGCTTTTTCGGCTTTTTGGCTCATTGACAGCAGGCAAAGGAGTGTGGGGAAGGGGAAGGAAAGAGGTGTGTGTGTGTGTGTGTGTGTGTGTGTGGAGGTATTTTCTTATTTGTAGCTGCTGCAGCAAAGGCTGGCAAAAGCGTTGACATTATTTCGACATTTAGCTGCATTTTCTCACTTTTGCATTTCAAATGACCCTCAATTATCCTTTGTTGACTGACTTTGTGCTGTGTCTCTTGTTGCTGCTGTTGTTGCCAAGAGGTCAAGGAAAGTGAAATTGATTTTTCTCTGCCTTGGCCCACAACACAGGCTGACCCTTGTTTCTATATATATACACATAGCTTATGTGCTTATGTAATAAATGCTATTACAGAGACTCAACTGATTCTTTATATGACACAATATATAGCTTGTATAATACAGAGTTAACACACCGTTTTTAACGCTGCCAATTTGTCAAAGTTCAAGCCACAAAATGACCTCATGTACACATTTTCTTCTTCTATATTTATGATGAAATCAGCTGCGACTTGACAAATAGCAATGCTTTATAATTAAAGGCAACAAAAAACTATAAAAGTAACGAAATGCTTGCATTGTTACGCAATTGTCACGCAGGCAATTTAGAGAACAAGTTGTAGATATATATTATTATATATATCTATACCTAAAGCTATATCTCCGAATCTTGTGCAATCAATCAGCCAATCGAAAACCAGTTTTGATATTTAGACACAGTTCAATTTCCCTTTCAAATGCCTCGTAACACTTGCAGCTCTCTCTTGCTCTTGCTCTCTTTGAAACAAATTTTTAGTTCTCAGCTCCTCTTTGTGACGCATTCTTAAACTTTGCACTGGCAGCGCATGCTTTTACAGCTTTTGCATTGAATACGCAATTTTTTTCTGTTTTTAGATACAAATTAAACTAGAACTTGTTATTAACAATTGCTTTTAAGTAAAGAAATATATAGCCATTGTTTTTAATAGATCTATTTAATACTCAATGTTCTCATATGAAGTTAGTTTTTGTTTGAAAGATTATTTTCCCCTTTTTATTTTGGACCTAACTGACACTTGGCAATAAAATAGCCGTTACGATCTATTGGTAATTTGATATTAACTTTTGTTTCTTATTTTTGTATTTGTGAACTTATGGCTAGATTGATTTAAGGAAAACAGGATATCTGTTTTATCTGAACTAATGTCATCAGAAAATTTTAGAATCGAATACAAAATATATTATGTTTTGTGCATATGGAGACTAAAAGTTTAAAATAAACATATTCTATATTTTTCTTAGGATGTTGAAAGATAAAAACGTTTGAGATATAATGAAAACCCTACACCATGAGTTGTTTTATATTATCACTTTCTTTGTAAGTATAAATGTCTGATTTTTGGATCTGCATATGCTTTTACTCTTTTCTATACATTCCTCTTAATTGTTTATGATAAAAGCTCGAGTAACTCTAAAAAAAAACACATTATATTATTTTATTTATTTTTTTTTTATAAACGAATACGTAATTGCAAATCTTGAAATGGCAAACCTCAAATTCTGATAATACATATATTTAGAAGGCTAGGGATAAGATATATAGCTAGCATTAGATAAGTTCCTCTTTGCGTTTCCTAGCTAACACTATTAAATTCCATTAACTTTGCAAACATGTCACAAAATCTCACATGATATATATACTACTCAGGCTATATTCCCTATATACTATTCTATATATATATATATATATATATATATACACTCTGCTCTCCATGTGTGTGTAGTTAAACGCAACTCTAAATAATGACACGGAATGGTTTTAGTCATGCACGACAGGTCTCACAATACATACTACTTTATATACATATATATCTATATATGTATATATACACACGTATGAAACTTAATTTTCAATTTAAGTTGACCTTAGAACAAAATTTGATCGATAATTTCGCATAATTGCGGAATGTGTGCACACAGACACACACACACACACACACACACACACAGGGTGACTCTAACAAAAGTGTGACACATGGTAAGCCGCCTTCACACTCGCACACACAGAAAGGTAAATCACCTTGAACATTAACGCCCAATGCAAAATGCAACTGACATGAGAAATTTGTGTGCGAGTGATGCGGCGCAGTCATGTGCGAGCGAGATAGCGCTACATATCTATGTAGAGGGCGTTAAGCCAGTGGACGGCGACGGCAACAGCGACGGCAACAGCGACAGCAACGGCAACGGCAACGACGGCGTCAACTCAAACGTGAGAGACAGCTTGTTATACATTGTAGTTTTGTGTGGCATGAGCGCAGCCCCCGGACTACATTTGCGTCATGCGACAACAACAGCAAAAACTACAAGTTTTTAATAAAACAAAAAGAAAAAAAAAAAAAAACTAACTTATAGCAACAACAAATTCCACTGCAGGCGGCAGAACTGCAAAGCGAAAGCTTCAGTCGCGCTGCTTCCTGCTGTTTATATGTGTGTGTGTGTGTGTGCGTGTGGGCGACAAGCCAAAAGCTTTGCCACTTGGCAGCTTT